GTCGGAAGAAGGGCCCCTCAGAAGAAGAAGATTGGGGAAGGAAGAGAGAGCAGTGGCACGAAGGAAGATGACCCGTGGGTGGAGAAGAAGATAAATGAGTGGGTGGTTAATTTATCTCTGGGAGAAGATGAAGAGGCAATGTTATATATACCTCAGGAGGAGAAGGAAGCAGCAATTAACGAGATCGAGGCGACGAGTGATCCCTTAGAACGCCAGGCAATAGAGAATGAGAAGAGGTTGGACTGGAAGTTACACCTGGCAAGGGAGAAGGAGAGGAGGACGGAGGAAGCCAACCGGATGGCTAGAGAAGTGGAGAGTTTACAAACATGTAGACATGAAGTAGAAGCCCAGCCTGATGTTCAGGCTAAGTTATACAAGATCCTTGGGAGCATCGAGCTCCTAGGTAGGGCCTGGACTGAGCACCATCAATCTGTTAGGGGCCAGGAAATGGCCCTCCACTCCATCCGACAGTAGTGGCCGCTGCAGAGATCGAAGGGCGTCCCTGCAAAGACCCTGTTAAGCTCAAATTCCCTGATTCTTATGGCGGGAAGAAGGACGAGAACTTCGATAATTGGGAGGCTAGCATTAACACGTATGTGTATCTCCAACACATTGCGCCTGAGGAACAAGTCCTCGTAGCCTTCCACGCTTTCAAAGACGAAGCGGTTAGTTTTGCCAGGTCCCTCGCAAGCAGTCGATTGTGAAAACAATATGGTTGCATATTCCAAACCCACCCCTCTTCACAATTTCCTTAAACTCCTTAGAGAAAGATTCGCTGACGTCACGCGAGCCGTCAGGGCCTTAGATAAACTGCAAATGATCCACTCACGACAGTGGAAGAGAGCGAGAGCACTCAAAGCAGTTATGGATGATGTAGTTGTCGTTCCATACCACGGGTCGTGCCATGCCAAAGCCCTTACGAGGGCATTTCTTTGAGAAGACCAACAGGCCACCATAACGTATGATGCATTAAGTAGGGAAGTGGTCCTGTTTGAGGCCAAATCCATGCCAGTGTCCACTTTCTGGCATAAGGATTTAGACAAAGGGAAAAAGTGGAAGGGTTGTACCATCTCGGGATAGGTCAGGGCTAAGGATCACCTGATCCTTACTTAGATGAGGGTGGTACTGACGAAGTCCCCTACAGTCAGATAGAGTGGGGGATGGAGGAGGAAGACAGTAGTGTAGGCCAGAGGAGGACTTACACTGTTCTCGCGGTTGGAGGGAGGCCGCAAGGTAGAGGAGGAGGCCAGGGCCAAGGGGGCCGGGCCATGGATGGTCGAGGTCCGGGCGCACAGGGGGGTGGCGGTCAAAGGAACCGCCAAGAGGGAGGTAGGGGTCAAGGTCCCCCGCCGAATCGCTCGGGGCCCAGTCGATCACCACAACGCAGAGGTGGAGGATCACCTCATAGGAGAGGAGGTTGGCACCCAGGTTGGCCACAAGGCCGGCCTTGGGAAGATTTGGGCTTGGACTAGAGGATTTGGCAGCAGCGAATGGAGCAGGGGTAGTGCATCTATTGCCCTGACCCTGCCCATATCATTAAATATTGTCCAAAGTACAGGGAAGCCCGATTTGCTGCCCAGGGGTCAAAGGCAGCCGCCGATAGGGGTTGCAACTGCCCTTACCATTTGCTGCCCAGGGGTCAAAGGCAACCGCCGATAGGGGTTGCAACTGCCCTTACCATTAGGCCGTGTGGGGAAGTGTGCGCGCACCACTAGGAAACTCCCACACCGCATGAGCCTATGGCAGAGGTTGCAGGCCAGTGCCTAGTTAGCTGTCCAGAGACTGTCTGTGTTAGAGTCTCTCTAGGCACTTCCCTCACAGGTCTGGCAGAAGAGTTGAAGGAGAGGATGCCGACTTGGGCCAAGATGAAGAAGGAGAGCAAAGGACAACTGGTGTTAGTAGATTTAGAAGTTTTTAGAAGCAGAGTAGGGGCCCTTATAGACACAGAGGCTACCCGTAGTTATATCAGCAAGAAAGCGCTAAAGAAGCTCAGGCTAGGTTTGAAAGTCCAGAAGTTGGAAGACCCCATAGTCAGTATCCTCGCAGACAACCGCATGATGCGTGTTAAGGATTACGTCGAGGGAGTCCAGGCATATCTGCGCTTAGAGAAAGATGGCAAGGTGGAGAAAGTTCTCCACTCTCTGACTCTCCTCATAGAGGACGACCTCCCTTTTGATATAGTCCTGGGTATGGACTTGGGAGAGGCAGCAGGGGCCACACTCCACTTAAGAGAGCATGAGTGTAGGCTCCCTAGTCCATCAGGCGAGGTTAAGACTGCTCGCCTGCATCATGTGTCAGGAATAGATAACTCCCTGGCGCATTGCTGTCTCAATGCTCCCTTGTTCGCACGATTAATTAAAAAGGAGCGGTTAGAAGAACAGGTCTTCATACCTTACGTGAGGCCTGTCACTGAGCCTACGGAAGAGAAACCAATAGACCCAGCTATTGCCAAGCTGTTGGAAGAGTTTAAAGATTTGGCAGAGCCGTCAACACGAGTAGTGTCGTGGCCAATCCAGCGCCGCATTGAGATAGAGCCTTGCAGTAGAACTCCTAAGGGTGCGATTTACAGGATGTCCCCAAGGGAGTTAGAGAAGTTGCGTAAGCAGTTAGATAAACTCCTCGAAAAGGGTTGGATTAGGCCCAGTTCGTCTCCTTTCGGAGCACCCGTTTTGCTTGTCCCCAAAAAGGAGGGAGACTTGCGTATGTGTATCGATTATAGCGGTCTGAATGCCATTACAATAAAGAATGTTGAGCCGCTGCCCAGGATAGACGATCTTTTGGATCGGGTGCAGGGCTGCAAATATCTCTCAAAGATAGATTTGAAGTCCGGATATCATCAGATAGAAGTTCATCCTGATGACCAGTACAAGACTGCTTTTCGGACTAGATACGGGCATTATGAGTTCATCATGATGCTTTTTGGACTGACCAATGCGCCAGCCACATGCCAGCGCTGTATGAATGATGTGTTTAGGCCTTGGTTAGATAGATTTGTTGTAGTCTAATTAGATTATATATTGGTTTTCAATAAGACCCTCCAGGAGCATCAGGGTCATTTGAGGCAGGTCTTGGAAAAGTTGAGAGAGACCAACTTCAAGATCAATGCGAAGAAGTGTGAATGGGCCAAGAGACAAGTCTTGTACTTGGGCTACGTCTTAGATGGAGATGGCATTAAGCCTGAGGATAGCAAGATAGTAGCGACTAGAGATTGGTCGACGCCCCGCACGATGACAAAATTGCGGTCGTTTCTAGGCCTAGCTAATTATTATAGGAAGTCCATGAGGAACGTTTCCACTATCGCCACTCCCCTTCGCAGGTTGCTCAAGAAGGATGCAATCTGGAGGTGGGACAAAGATTGTACATCTGCTCTTAAGAACTTAAAGCGAGCGTTGATAGAGTACCCTGTCCTCAAGGTGGTCGATCCGTCCTTGCCATTTGTCATCACCACGGACGCAAGCCAGTATAGGATAGGCGTCGTGTTGCAGCAGGACGACGGTAATGGCTATAGACCCGTAGAGTTTATGTCAGCGAGGATGCCTTCAGAGAAAGTAGCTACCTCGACTTACGAGAGAGAACTCTACGCTCTCAGGCAGGCCTTAGAGCATTGGAAGCATTACCTGCTTGGGAGGCACTTCAAAGTTTATTCAAACCACGAGACTCTCAGGTGGCTGAAAACGCAGGCCAAGATGACACCTAAGCTAACTAGGTGGGCCACTGAGATAGACCAGTACGACTTTGAGCTCAAACCAATCAAGGGCAAGTATAACGTAGTTGCGGATGCTCTAAGTAGGAGATCAGATTACTTTGGAGCTATAGTTCACTATCTGGATACAGGGGGAGACATGAAAGTCAGACAGGCGTATGTGCAGGACCCTATTTATAGTGACCTCCTCCAGAAAGTTAAGGAGGCCCCAGAGATTACCGCACTACAGCGGGATTACTGATCGAGAAGACCAACGTAGTAGACCGTTTGTGCGTTCCTAACAGTGAGGAGGTCCGTAGTTTGTTACTAGGGGAATGCCACGACACAGAGGGACATTTCGGTTGGCAAAAGACTCTAGCCAATCTAATGCATGCGTATGCTTGGCCAGTAATGAAAGCCGACTCCATGAGTACGTTCGCAGTTGCAAAGTCTGTAAGAGGAATAAGACAACTACGCGTGCCCCTCTAGGTCTTCTTCGACCCTTGCCTATACCTGATCAGCCTGGCGATTCAGTATCCATTGATGTCATGGATACTAGCATCAAAAGTAGGCATGGAACGAGCCAAGTCATGGTAATAGTGGATAGATTTAGCAAATATGTTGTTTTTGTTCCCTTACCCGCAGAAGCCCGTACAAAATTAGTAATTCAAAAGTTTTTTGACTTTTGGGTTAGTGATCACGGGATCCCATTGTCCATAGTGAGTGACAGAGATACCCGGTTTACAAGTCAGAACTAGCAGGAGTTAATGAAAGTATACGGGTCAAAGTTGTTAATGTCGTTTGCCCATCACCTAGAGACTAACGGTCAGACTGAGCAAATGAACAAGATCCTGCAGCAAGTTCTGCATATGTACATTAGACCTGATCAAGTCAACTGGGACGAGATGTTGCCCAGTGCATATAACAATAGCGTGCACTTGGCCACTTGTCGTACTCCCAATGAACTGCGTAAGTCCTTTAGACCGCGCAGATCGTTTGAAGGACTTAACCGGGACCAGATTCATAGGCTACCACCCGGTACTACGAAGTTCGCGATACAGCACAATGGAAGTTAGCTACCGTTGTTGAAAACCTCAGGAATGCCCAGCACCGAATGATAGAGCAGGCTAATAAGCACCGTCGCCCGTCGCAGTTTCAAGTAGGCGACCTAGTCAAGGTCCAGTCCAAAGAGTTTGCTCCTGAGGAAAACATTTCACAGAAGTTACTGCCAGCATACAGGGGGCCAGTTCTAGAGGTTAAGGGCGGAGAGGATGGGCCGTCCTATACAATAGAGATTCCAGCGCACCTCCACACCTACCCTACGTTCCATGCGTCAAAGCTATTGTCGTGTGTCACAAGTCCACAGTTTCCATCAATGCTGCAGAGCAGGGAACCCAGTTGCAAACGACTTCTGGGAATCACCCAGAGGCCGACGGCCAGGCCAAGCAACTGAATCGCGCTGTACGACACCTGTTGAGGCATTACATCAAGCGCAACCAGGTGGACTGGGATGAGAAGCTTGCTCTCATCGCCAGTCTGTACAACAATGCGGTACACAGCGCCACCGGGGTGAGTCCAAACAACTTGCTATTCACTTTTAAGCCTAGATTACCCTTAGACTTTCTCCTTCCTGAGAATCAGTCAACTGTTGCACCGGGTAATTCAGAATTTGCCTACCGGGACGAACAGAAGATGCAGCAGGCAGTAGAACAGATGCAGAAGGCACAGGCAGCAATGATAGAGTCTGAGAATAGACACTGCCGACCTTCTACATTCCACGTGGGGGACAGAGTCTGGGTTAAGTCCTCAGAACTAGGACAGGAGTACGGGACTAAGAGGTAGAGGTCGTCCACAGAAACAATATAAGGCCCGATTTGCTTATCAGGAACACGAGGACGACCGCTGGTTTACTAGAACTGAACTTCTAGAAACAGGTCCCGACATAGTAGCCTACGAGACAGAAAGGAAAGGTAAAAACCCCGTCTTGGACTGAATTATTCTCGGAGGACCTCGGATTTAGGCCGGCGAGAGTGAAACGGTACTCACCTGTTAGCAGTAGTGAGTGCAGATCCCAAGGCTCGATCCCTAGTTCTTACCTTACCTATGTACAATACCTATGTCGACCCCGAGAGTTGAACCCGTGACCTGTGTATTCGCAACAGTTGGTAGGTTGTCGTAGGTCCGTAGGTTGTAGGGGTTCGATTTGTAAACCTCTCGGATAGAGGTCTTAGTGAGTGCGAACAGTGGAGTTGGGCAGAGTGACGAGAGTTGGGTGGTATAGGCACTGATGCGCCATAGCCTGTTGAAGCGAGCTTATATCTGAACTGTGTTTTCGACTTCCATATCTCTGAGCTTTGAGTGGGCGTTGTGCGCCAGTGTGACTCACCATCTGTTTGCATGAGTGCGCAATGGAAAAGAAAGCGGTCTGATTGCAATTCGATAATCAAAAGAGATAGAGCGCTCACTCAGATTACTCAAGATCGATGACGAGGATAGTTAGCTGTCGGAGTAAGTTTTGAAGAATTTAGCCAGTAACTCTGATCGCCTTGCAAGCCCCCCTGACCAGTCTTTAGTAACGATCTTACAAAGGATTTTTTGTTGAATTGATCATGACAATAGGCACAACATGAGATAAGCATAGGGAACACGCGGATCTGATGGTAACACATTGACTTTCCGATCGATGACAAGTCACAGTTCAACGTATTGATGATACTGACGGTGGTCTGCAAGTGTGCATTACTTATGCGTCACTCTCGCACATCAGCTTCCACCTTGTTACCACTTGTATGACTAGGACCCTGAGATCTTGTTGGCGTCAACCGCGTATTCACACATAGCATTCTTGCTCGAGCCATAACTTAAGCACTTATTCACATGGTAAGTGTTCCATTCGTTTGCTTTGCATCCACCTCATCACAACAGAGATGGAACGAGCTGCGGTAGGTGATACGTACTAGAAGGAGCACAAATGACGTCAGCTGCCAGCAGCATTCGCAGGACGTCTCACTTCTTGAGATGTTAGTACGCGCACCTAGTATGTTGTTTCGCACACTAGAACTCGACCACCCCACACTAGAGAAGGGGAGTGTTCTCAGATCGCGCATCGACACAACCTGCATGACACAGCGACTGACAACAACAGTGGACTCGCACGTAGAATACATGCGTCCTCCTGACTTATCGTTTGCTTTGCATCCACCTCATCACAACAAAGATGGAACGAGCTGCGGTAGGTAATACGGACTGGAAGACACACAAATGACGTCAGCTGCCAGCAGCAACCGCAGGACGTCTCACTTCTCGAGATGTCAGTACGCACAGCTAGTATGCTGTTTCACACGCTAGAACTCGACCACCCCACACTAAAGAAGGGGAGTGTTCTCAGATCGCGGATGAAGATAATTGATACAACCTGCATGACACAGCGGCTGACAACAACAGTGGACTCGCACATGGAATACATGCGTCCTCCTGACTTATCGTTTGCTTTGCATCCACCTCATCACAACAGAGATGGAACGAGCTGCGGTAGGTGATACGGACCACCCCACACTACAGAAGGGGAGTGTTCTCAGATCGCGTATGAAGACAATCGACACAACCTGCATGACACAGCGGCTGACAACAACAGTGGACTCACACATAGAATACATGCATCCTCCTGACTTATCACTCTCCAGTGTGCACTTCCAGTGCTTTGCCGTAGCGTTTTCAACAACTGACGACTGCCTCCATCTCTCTTCTCCTCTACCCATCGCTCTAGTCATGGTATACAATCGTCTCGCAACTTGACCTCAGCCTCGCTGTCACAGTGAGCTGAATTCGTCAGAGCGTTGTTGACGTCGATAGTGACCTGCAAACGCGCCTCTCATGAACGTCTCTCATGAAGCCTAGCCTTCCCCCGAGTACGCACACGCCCACTACAATAATAGTCTCAATCTTTGCGACAAAAGTGGTGCAAACGAAGATGAGTTAAATCAAGCAGGAACAACAACTCAGATGATGTTTGTAAAGCGCATAACCCTCATGTTCTTCGTCCATCATTGAAAAAAAAAAATGCACTTCACCAGTGACCTCAACAGTTAAAGAACCGCATAGCTTTTTCCCACAGGTTTGACTTCGACTCTCTCCTCTTCATGTGCACACGTCGCTTCTACTCCACGTTTCTGTCTCTCCCTCTCTGTTCATGTTCGTGGTCCGCTGCTTGTAACTGTCTCGATGTCTCAATCTCGTCCTCGTTGCGAGCTGGCCTCCGGACCATCTTCCACCGACTCAGTTGGCAGGTGGTCCTGCTGCCATTGCGCCCATCCGTGCTAGGATTGGGTTTTGGCGTCACTGGCTTCGGGCTCTGCCTCAGAGTCCCGGTTAAGCTGTTCCTGTTCCCGCTCAGTAGTCCCTGTTGAAGTTTCTTCCTCGTGGTACGTTACCGTGACCTGCAACGCAGCGGTTGCTCCATCTCGCTTACATCTCCGCTAAGCCCGGTTTCGGGCCTCAGCAACTGCACCCTGTACTGCTGTGTCTTCCCTCGTCTCTTGCTCCTTACCGCCGTAAACATTAATTTTCAGCTTCACTATCCTGTCGTACTTACTGTAGTTCAGGCCACTACGGCTCCCCCTTCACCCTTGGGTTCCCAGCTCCCAAGAAACTTCAGATATCTGGGTCTGTAACTGTGGAGACCACTACGAAGAGCCATAGCTATATGCTCTTAGAATAGTCGGTGCCTAGATGTTTACGTCACACTTACCACGTGTGTAAGACACTAGATTATCAAGCTCAGGCAACTAAGCCCTGAGCATCTCGCACGTCTGCGTCGTTATCTCGACCTACGAAACAGTGTGAAGGTAGCAAAAGCCCATGCACGCACCCATCAAGGAATAGGTGAGTATACCAGAGACCCATCTTCTTATAGAATTTGAAGATGACAATGCCCCTGAGTTCTAATCGGGACTTATATTTTCACATCAACAAAATGAGACTAATAAGAAAACTAAGAGTTAAAAGTATGATAGGGTAAACAGTCGGACAATGGTCAACTAAATAAAGCAGTCGGAAATATAATTCCAATGGTCATCAGGTAAGTGCACACCTATGATCAGCGCCATCGGTCTTTTCGTTTCAATCTGAAAAGACTGCGGCTTGGTCCGCAGTGGTCCCATAATGGAATACCGACAGGTAATTCCTCTCTTTTAAGACAGATCATCAGACTATCACTAGAGGGCATGTCCAATGGCAAGGAAGGGGCTTACAAACTTCGGCTGGAGGTGATAAGCCTCCTACCGAAGCGGCCACGGGTTGCCCCTCTTTTGGGGTCCTACGCTGATAGCACCTCACAAATTAAACTCATGGCGACTTAAGCGCGACGGGTCGGGCAGCTTAGGCCGCCCATGCGTAATCACAAATTCAAAATTGAACCGTTCGTTCCCCCGCAAAATGATAGAAGGGGGAACTAAATTAAAAAAAAAGAAAACAATAAAGAAAAGTGAACTATGTAACGCCGCAATCTGAAGAATGGCGATTCCAATTTTCTTTTTTCCTTTTTCTTTTCTCTTATTTCTCTCTTTTCCTGTCCTTCTCCTTTACTCTAGTTGTGACTACTGTCAGACTTATCCCATAACTTGACTAGAGGGAACCTGGCGCGCAGTAGAAAAGACCGCTCCGGTCCCTGTACCTTCGCGTCCCTGGGCGAGCCCGACAGTTACCACGACCATAGGCCAGTAGTGCTCTGTTGTACATCAAGGTGCCGGGCCTGCGTGGACCAAACGAAAGTCCAGTGTCGCACCCCCACCTTTTGTTAAGGGAGTGTCCACTGGACCGATCCTATAGTAGAGCGCTGGATATCACAGGTGCATTGCAGAGGAAAAACGATCCGAGTCCAAGGTGTCACTGGTACAACCGCGGGTAGTGAGCTGGCGTTGGGTACACCACAAAGTTTTATGAGCAGGGAGCTTGATACGCCACGGAGATTTGTGAGCAGGGAGCTTGGTACACCGCGAAGATTTATGAGCAGGGAGCTTGGTACAACGCGGAGATTTGTGAGCAGGGAGCTTGGTACGACGCGAAGGGTCGGGACATGGCGCCCTCCGACAACGTGCCAACTTGCACATGACGAGTCGACGACGATGAGACGGCGACCGATACCGGTGGCGGCTCCCTGCTGGTGAGACCTCAAGGAAGACGACATCTTTCTTCTTCTTCTTCGTCTCGTCTCCATCTCATCTCCCCCCTCCCTCCTCCTTCTTCTTCTTCTTCTTCTTCTTCAGAGAAAGAGAGAGAGGTTACTGATAGAGGTTACCTCGGGCATACGCCCAGGACCTGATTCAACATTTTGCGGCAAACATTTATTGGACGCCCGACAAGGGACTATTTTGCACTTCGCGATCTTGGTCTTCCCCCTCGCCTCCATCTTCGTCTCGCCTTCTTCCCCCCATCTCTTATCCATGGTATCTCCCCATGTGTCTGCGCAATGAGGGACCTTTCCTCGTGTATGTGGTCCCTCCTCCCTCTCTCACATGTGCGGTGTATGGTGGTGTGTC